TTTAGTGAGATATAATTCACAGATAATACAATTCACCCAGTAACATGTACAATTCAATGCCCAGAACTGTTCAGCCATCACAATTAACTTCAGGATGTTTTCATCACCTCAAAAAGAAATTCTGCACCCCTTAGCCATCATCCCCAAATCCCCACATCACCACTCCCCACCAGGCCTAGGTAACTACTAATCTGCTTTTTGTCTCTATAGATTTACCAATTCTGGACATTTCATATAAGTGGAATCATACACTATGTCACCTTTCTGTGTCTGGTTTCTTTTACTCAGCATAACATTTTCACGCTTCATCCACATTGTAGCATGTGTCATTGCTTCATTCCTTTTTATGGCTGAATAATATTCCACAATATGGATAGACTGTATTTTACCCATGCATCGATTGATAGATACTTGTGTTGTTTCTACCTCTTGGCAAGTATGAAAAATGCTGGATGAACATTCATGTACACGTTTCTGTGTGGACATATGTGCTTTTCTCTTGAGTATATAGGAGTAGAATTGATAGGTCATATGGTAACTATACTTTTAACTTTTTGAGGTACCACCAGACTCTTCTAAAGCATCTGCACCATTTTGCATTCTGAGCAGCAGTGTATAAGGGTTCCAATTTCTCCACATCCTCAACAACACTTACTATTTTGTTTTTTTTATTCTAGGCATCCTAGTGGGTGTGAAATGGTATCCCATTATGGTTTTGATTTGCATTTTCCTAATGATTAATGATGTTGAGCACCTTTTCATGTGCTTATTGGCCAGTTGTATATCTTCCTGGGAGAAATGTATACTATGATCCTTTGCCCATTTTAAAATTGGGTTGTTTGTGTTTTTATTATAAAGTTGTAGAGTGTTTTATGTATAATGGATATAATTTCCTTATCAGATATAGCATTTGCAAATCTTTTTTCCCATTCTGTGAGTTGTCTTTTTACTTTTTGTTTTTTCCTGGTCATATGGTAGTTCTATTTTTAATTTTTGAAGAAACTCTATACTGTGTTCCATATTGGCTACACCAATTGCAATCCCTCCAACAGTACACTGGGGTTCCCTTTTCTCTACATCCTTACCAACACTTGTAGTTTGCTGATTTTTCATGATGGCAATTCTGTCAGGTGTGAAGTTATATCTCACTGTGGTTTTAATTTTCATTTATCTGATGATTAGTGACATGGAACAGCTTTTCATACGTTGACTGGGCATCTGTATGTCTTCTTTGGAGAAATGTCTACTCAGCTCCTCTGCCCATTTTTTAAATGGGTTTGTTTGTTTTTATGAGGTTGAGTTATATGAGTTCTTTATAAATTTTGGATATTAACCTTAGATCAGATGTATAATTGACAAATAAACGTTTTCTCTCAATCAGTAGGTTGTCTTTTCATTTTGTTGATGGTTTTGTTTGCTGTGCAAAAACTTTTAAATTGGATGTAGTTCCATTTGTTTATTTTATTTTATTATTTTGTTTCCCTTGCCCAAGGAGATACTATAGATCAGAAAGCAAATGTTACTAAGCTCAATGTCAGAGATTTTACTGCCTATGTTATCTTCTATGAGTTTTATGGTTTTGGGTCTTATATTTAAGTGTTCAATCAATTGAGAGTCTTTTTGTATATAGTGTATGAAGGTGGTCCAGTTTCATTTTTTTGCATGTATCTGTCCAGTTTTTTCAACATCATTTATTGAGTAGACTATCCTTACCTCACTGTATATTCTTGTCTCTTATTTCATAGATGAAATGACCATGTAAGTGTGGGTTTATTTCTGGGCTCTCTATCCTATTCCATTCAATTATGTGTCTGTTTTTATGCCAGTACCATGTTGTTTTGATTACTATAGCCTTATAGTATATTTTTATATCAGGTAGCATGATATCTCCAACTTTATTCTTTCAAGAGTGCTCTGATTATTTGGGATCATTTGTGGTTCCATATAAATTTTAAGATCTTTTGTTCTAGTCCTGGTTCCTGGTAGAGGGAGTAGCTTTGTGAGCGGGGCCGAGGAGCCTGTGGGAAGGACTGAACTGAGTGCCTTTGGCACAGGAGCTGGAGGTTTTTGGGACCATTGTTCCCCTGGAGTGGAGCTTGCACACACCTCTTTTTACTTTTTGATGGTGTCCTTTGAAGTACAAAAGTATTAAATTTTGATTATGGGACTGTACCATTTTAAAAATAATATGGTGGCTGGCCGAGTGGCTCAGCTGGTTAAGAGCTCGCTCAAGAGTTTGAGCTCTGAGCAACAGCAGTTCAAGTCCCGGCCCGAACTGAGCAGCCACTGAGCTGCCAACAGGTGGCAGGATGGCTCAGCTAAAAAAAAAAATTATATATATATATATGAATCAATTTGACATGATATTTTGCATAGTAGACTTAGTAAACAAAGGCTGGAAAGTTTCCATGTAGCACTGAAAGCAGCCTCAAATTTACATTGGACACCCCTCCTCTGGGTTCCCCCAACCAATTTTTGAGTTCCTCTCTCTCTGCCATCTCATTCTCCTTCCATCCCCTGCCACCCACCAACTCTGGATTCCAACTCTGCAAAGTAGAGCTATTCAGGTTTGTCAAGTTCCTGCTACAAAAGATCCATCGTGCTCAGAAGAAATGAAGGATTTTCTCTCCAGTCATTGTTATTGTCCTCGTGAGAGGGACTGATAAGTGTTTAAAATACAAGTTCCCCCTTCCTCATATTTCAAAGAGATCCTGACGGAGGCCCAGATGGGTTTTTTTGGTGGCTTAGAATTCTCAAGTCACAGGCTGGTTGAAAATGCCTGGTTATTGCTCTCATAACGGTCTCTACTTGTCCTAATGGCGGCACCCTCCCTGCTCCCTGAGACTACAGCTCACAGTCTTGGCTCCATGCAGCTTTGTGGGGCCTGAGGCTGGATGGCAACTCAAGAAGTGGCCACCGAGTGACTCTACCCATGGGGTTACCCCTCTCAACCAAGGCCATCAGCTTGGCTCTGTGTGGCTCCTGGGAAAACAAGGCAGAGACACAGAAAACCCACTAGACAGAGAAGGGAGCTGCTGGCCCAGCCCCCTTGCCCATCGGGCCACCTGACTGACCCCCCAGCTTGTTCAAATGCAGAGTCCTGGGTGCACCCTGTTTCATGATTCAGGCGACTGCACGGGATCTGCATTTTGAAGTCCCTAGGTGATTCTGATGTGGAACATTCTGGAAGCACAGTTCCAGAGGCAGTTTTAGATCCTGAAGTCTGTGAAGAGTGTGGTGGGGGGGGGGGGGGTGTGAATGAGGTGGCCCAGGTTCCACCCACCTGTTACCTAGGAGTGCTGAGGAGGTAGTGACCCCAGATTAGAAAGTACTCAGTTCACTGTCTTTCCACCAGCATTGAGGTGACCCATGGAGTCCTTGAGGGAACCACAGACACTCCAGTGTGTAGATGGGAATTGGTTTTTAGGGATAGGAGGGTGTCCTACTGAATAGGAGCAGGTTTGGGTCTAGGGTGGTGGTGACCAGCAAGTAAGTCCACAGGCCGGATTAGAGAAGGCCGCCCTCATGGCGACTGGTGTCACCCAGACCTGCAGCACTAGTGCTCAGGGATGGTCTCCCTGCTGGTCCCATGTCCCCACCCATGTGGTGTTGACTGGGACACGGTGGAAGAGGGCAGGGTGAAGAACTTCAGGAAAATTCAGAGCACTGGGGGGTAAGGGGCTGGGGTTCAGTCTCCCAGTCAGGCCTGTTCTCTAAAGACCCAAACAGACTGAGCCACTGTTGCCAGGCTCAGCGAAGGATACAGGCAGTCAGCCTGCTGCTCTCCAGAAAAGCCAGCTATTCCGGGAAAACGAAAGTCCTGCGAGGGGGGAAGGAGCGGTGGGGGAGCGTTTCTGGCGGTGGGGTGGCGGGTAGGCGAAGCTGAACACTTCCTGTTCTCAGTTCAAAGGACAGCCTTTGTCCCTGTCTCCATCTCCTGGTCTTAGCTTCACAGGCTTCAGCCCAGCCCCAACCGCTCTGAACCCGCCCCTGGGAACAGCGGATGGGGCCAGGCAGCGATCACAACTCCCCACAGGCCCGCGGTGGGAGACCCAGGCCGCTCCATGTAGCGCCTGACCCCGCTCAGCTGTAGATGATGCTCCCCACAAGCAGGGGCAGAAGGGGCAGCAGTTGGGGCACCGACGGCCGCCCCGTGGCCTGGTTGATCTCGCACTGACAATCGCAGACTCCTGGCTTGAGAGTCACTTTGGGGGTCTTGGGGGAGCGAGGGCCAGCACTGGGAGCCGGGCAGTCCAGCCACTGGGGGCCCATGGGTTGCGGGGAGTCAGGCTCGGCCTTGACGCTGCCCTTGGGAAATCGCCAGTAGTGGGTGCCCTTAACGAAGTAGGTATCACCTGCGGGGCGGAAGGAGACGCCGAGGGACTGGTCCAGGCTATCCCAGGCTGCCCCAAACCCCGCCCCTCCCGAGTGCTCCCAGTAACCCCCTCAGGATGGCCCCTAGTCCCATCCCCCAGGGCCAGTAGCTTGCAGTCCCGGGGCCTCAGACCCTCCCTGCGCGCTCTCCTACCTGTGTTACTGACAGTGACGTCGTCTGGGGCCTGAGGAGCCCCCTCCCAGAGACTCAAGTCGCGCGGGTAGCCGGGGTCAGGGCGCGCCGCCGCGTCGTCATACCGCCAGTAGCGCTGGCCCCGGACCAGGTAGGTCTTTCCGTTCAGCGGCCACGAGAACACAGCATCCACCTCTTCCCCCTGGGGCAGCCCCAGCTCGGCCAGCGGTCGTGCGGCGCCCTCCAGCTGCCGGTCCTGGAACACCCAGAACTGGGAGCCTGCAGGGAAGCGGCTTAGTGAGCAGCTGCTCCCCAAGCCCCGCCTGCACCGCCCCGGGCCCCACTCACCACTGAAGAGGAGAATTCGGCCATCTCGGTGCCTGGAGTACGCGGCCTGGATTACCTTCACCTGGGCGGGCAGCCCCTCCCAGAAGCGGTGGAGCCGGGCAGGCCGATGGGACACAAGCTGTCCCGAGGGCTGGAGTCGCCAGAACCAGGGGCCTGTGGGGGGAAAAAGGGGTGGGCATGGGGCATGACATGGCAAAAGGTCTCATCCCCCAGGGTGTGTGGCTGAGACACAGTGCTGGGTCCCCTCTACAACACCTGGGTGGGAGAGGTCCATCTGGAAATCAAGAGTGCAGCGGCTCTAAGATGACTGGGCTGATCCAGGACTTTTCTGCCACCACCTTCCATACCCAACTCTCCCACCCCTTCACCCCTTCAATGAAAGTCCTGCATCCAGGGAAACCCCACAGGCCCCATGGGTCACCCTAAGTGGGTATAGGAAGCCAACTAACTCTATGGGGTCAGGGGAGATCCAAAGTGACTCACCTTTGAAGAAGAAGGTTTCCCCACGGATGTTGGCGATGGCATCAAAGTTGCCAGCACATCGATCAGGAACAGGGAGGGAGGGGCTGGGGAGGAAGGGAGAGGCAAGGAGAAAGGGATCAGGGCTCTTCCTCTTTGCTTCATGGAGGGGGCTGGGTCCCCCATCGCAGGCCTGTGATTGCAGCCTAGCTCCATCCTCTGTTCCCCGGGGCAGACTCAGTCCTATGAGGCAGGGACTCTTACCACGCCCATCTCACTGAGGAGGACACCACGGCTAGGGAACTCACCCAAGATCACACAACTGGTGAGGGACTCACCTGTTTGGGGGTGGGGAAGGAGGAGGCAGGGGTTTCCTTGTGGGCTCATCATGTGGGGTTTGGGGCGCTTTCCCTGTAGAGAGAGAATCAAAGAGACGAGGTTCCCTGACCCTGCTGCAGAGGCCACAGGGTGAGCCCCCTGCCACTCCCTGTACCGTAGAGCTGCTGCAGGCCTTCACGGTCATCCTGGGACAGGCGATACTTGGTGGGGTTGCCCACCGGGCCCTGGTAAAAGGGTCTCATGATGGAGTCAGGCGCTGAGGAGTGGCCCAGGCCCAGGGCGTGACCAAACTCATGAACAGCCACAGCAAACAGGTCAGTCCCCTCACCATCTGGGAAGGAAGGGAGAGTGGGCTGGAGCTGTGCCCCCCCCCCCGAAACCAGGAAAGGGGGCAGCCAGGAAGCCCCTGGAAGTGGAGCCTGCTGGTGAACAGCCAGGAGACCCTTCAGGAGTGGCTACAGCCTCTTCTGCCCAGACCCCTTACTGAGCTATTCATCCCTCCTGTATGCATACACTTACTCTGTAAATATTTTTGTTTGGCTGTGCTAGACAGTGAGATACCAGGCTAAAAAGATCCATAGAACATGTGAGGGAAAGGGTAGGAGGAGACATTCTGGACAGAGGAAGGGGTGACCTTACACTGACGTAGCCCCTATCCCCAGGAAGGGGGGACTGTATACAGAAACACTGGGGGAAAGCAGGATCCCAGGGGTGCATGCAGTTTTCTTGAGGACACACCAGCCCTTGGAGTTTTCCCCTTCCCAGTTCCAGCCTGTGGTCAGAGGTCCCCACCCCTCCCCACCCTTCCCACTCCCACCCTCAAGGAATGTTGCTGAGTCTCCTTGGCCTCTGCTGCCAAGACCTTTAGCCCACTCCCATCCCCAGGGTCCTTCCCTCCTCCTCCTCCTCCTTCCATCCCCACCCCTCCAGTGCCCACATTCTCTCAATCTACCCCCTCCCCCATCTTCCCATCCCACAGCCTCCACCCCTCACCACCTCCCTGGGGTCCTGGCCTCTCCTCCCCACCCCTGCAGCCTTCATCCATCTCCTTAGAACTTGAAGCTTCCGCAGGCACTCTCTGACCACAGCCTGCTGGCCCGGGCGCCCAGCCTCACTATCAGCCTCTCTGAATACAGAGGCCTCTTCCTTGGGGATCCAGCCCAGGCGCCAGAAGGGAGCCTCTTTACACTCCCAGTAGCTGGTCGAATCCATCCATCCACAAGCAGCCTGCTGGCTCCTGCTCCAGCAGGTGAGAGGCCAGAAAAGTCTGAGAAAGCAAAAAGGGCAAGCCGCCCCTTTTTGGAGGCATGGCTTTCCCAGACGTCGATCCACTTCATGGACATCTCTAACTAGGGTCAGCAGTGTTGAAAGGGGAGTTTTTTGGAAGTGACCTGGTAAACTGAAAAGCAACTTTCTCTCAGCCACCTAAGGCCACTAGATAAGAATCTAAGAATGAAATGCGCGATTAAGTCATAAAAGGAGGAGCAAACACTTGTCCTCATTTACTTCTCACAAAACCTCTACCTCCAACCCCATTTTACGGACCAGAAAACTGAGGCACAGAGAGATCAAGTTAAATGACAGAGCTTCTCTGAGTCCTTTTTCTGAGAAATTGGAGGAAGTTTGGTGTCTTAATCAAGTAGATCTCACCACCCCCTTCCCTGCGTTTCCTTTCCTTTGGCCACAGCCCTTCTTTGCACCCTTCTCACGCTATGCATCTGGAAGAAATTATACAACTGTGCAGATCCAGCCCCACGAAATCAGTCTGTGGAGGTCCTCCTTGCCCTGGGCCTCAGCAGGCAGCTCCTTTGCGTCTGCACTCAATTTCAAACCCAGGCCCACAGCCCCTCAAGCCACCACCCAGCTCCAGCCCCCAACTCTTGAGGACAAATGCTGACAAATGTGTTTCCTATTTCAACAAGACAGACCGCTCTATGTAATCTGTAACTTCCTGTGCACCCAGGACAGATAGCTTCACCCCCCTGTCTCTTGCCCTGCCCTGCTTGGGAACCCTGCCTGGCTCACCTCCTCCAGGATGAGAACAATGCCCCACCCATCCATCCATCCCTGCATCCATCCATGTTTCCGTCCATCCATTTGTCCATCCATCCGTCCATCTATCCATCCTCCATCTCTTTCTTTCTATTGGCTCATCTAACATCCCTGAGTGCTGAAGACTTCCTCATCCTAAGATATCCCCCAACCACACCCCTCTCCAGCCCCAGCAAGTTCTTTGGTCAGTGGTCTAATTCAGTCTTCATTTCCTCAGCTCCTCTCACTTCTCACCCCACTGTGGTCTGGATTCTTCCCCCAGGCACGAAGCCTACAGGCACTAAGGTCACTTCGCCCCCAAATGACCAAATCCAAGCCCATGGAGCTTACTGGACTGGTTCGCCACCCTGCCCACTGCTGACCACTTTCACTCTTGTTCTTGATCACCTTTCAGCCTGTTCTTTCTCCGATTCTTTTTATTCCTCCTCCCCTTTGGGATGATGCCATCCCCTTTACTCTGGGACTCTCTACCACTGACCTTCACCGGGAATCTTACCAACCCCCAGTACAGTCTTTTAAATCTTCCACCAGGCCCATCCCTGATAGCAGCTGGTAATGAATGGAGCACTGCTCTGTGCCAGGCTCTGTGCGGAGAGCAGGAGGTGAATTATTTAATCCACAAATCCACACTACCGGCAGGTACTATTATTATTCCCATTTCTCAATTGAAAAAACGGAGCACATTGAAGTTAAGCAAGCGGAGGAGCCCGGCCTTGAGCTCCGCTTCATGCCCGCGTCCTGAAATGCTGTGTTACACAGCCTCACGATTGTGGATGCGCTCTGTGCCTCGCCCAAATTCTCTCTGAGCCTGTGGGGTCAGGCTCCTCTGGAGCTGAGACCACATCCTTGCTCAGCTTCTTTCCCAGTCCTCTCCTGCTTCCCTTTCCCCTGAGAAACTGCTAGCACAAGAATTTCCATCTCAAGCTTCACTTCTGGGGGGACCTGACCTAAGTCAGAGGAGTCCAAGTTCTAGAGCTAGATACTTAACCACGGATGCACCAGGTTCACTGACCGCCGGAAGCACTGCAAACACACGCCTCCACCTGAACTCACCCCTGCCACACACACACACACACACACACACACACACACACACACACACACACACCATCACCCACTACCATCTCTTACCTGGACCCTGCAGCAACTTCCAGCTTCCCTGCCCCTATCCTGCCCTGCACTGCAGCCAGGAGTATTTCTAGAATGCAAAACCTTCCATGTCTCCTACTATCTTCAGAGTTCTACCATCCAGACCCTTCCTGTGCTCTCCAAGGCCCTTTGTGGTGTGAAACTTACCATCAGTCCTCTCTCTATGGTTCCCTTCCCAACACCATACTTTTGCCTTCCAGCCCCAAATGTCCCAGGCCATTTCTTACCCTGGAGCTCCCATACCTGACACCCTGACTACCCTGAACTCACCTAGCTCATCAGCTTGAACTTCTTATGTGTCCCCCACCCCCGCCTTGTGTACTCTAAGTGAGCAGGACCTTGTGCGCTATCTGGCACTGTGTGTGTGTGTGTGTGTGTGTGTGTGTGTGTGTGTGTGTAATAAACAGTCAGAGTCACTGCTTCTGGGAAGCCCCGCTCAACCAAAAACCTCAGCTTGGTCTTTTCTCTGAACAACCACAGGTTCAAGGACTTCCCTGTTGTGATTCCCAGTACTTATGTCACTGTGTGTGGCAATTACTCTTATGACTCAGCTCCTGGACAGAGCTGTGTTTTTGCCTCTTTAATCCTCAGCCCCAGCTTGGATCTGGGCACCTGACAGGCCCCTGTGATGGAATTTTCTGTGTCAGGTTGGCCAGACTATGGAGCCCAGTTGCTTGGTCAAACACTAGCCTAAATGTTGCTGTGGAGGTTATTTTGTAGATGTGATTAACATCTACAATCAGTTGACTGTAAGTAAAGCAGATTACTCTCCATACCGGGGTGGGCCTCATCTAATCAGTTGAAGGCCTTAAGAGCAAAAAACCGAGAAGGAAATCTGCCTCAAGACTGCAGCATGAAAATCCCACCTGAGTTTTTAGACTCAAGATTGCAACATCAACTCTCACCCGAACTTCCAGCCTGCGGGCCTGCTCTATAGATTTTGGACTTACCAGTTTCCACAATCTCATGCGCTAATTCCTTAAAATAAATCAGTTAATACACACACACACACACACATGCACACACATCCTATTAGTTCTTTTTCTCTGGAAAAGCCCAACTGATACAGCATCAATCCATGTAATTTAAATCTAATTTTTAAGGACAGATAGACCTGGGAAGAGGACCTCTCAGAAGAGGGGACATTGTACCTTTTGACCCATAAGTCCAGATCTCCTCATCGTCGAAATGAGTATCCCCAGAGATGGAATGCTCCCCGGGGAAGAAGGCATGGGCTAGGGTGCCCCCCTGCCCATCAAAGGGGTAACTGTCCTGGTGGTAGGCCCGGGCAAAGTCGATGAGGATGTCAGGCTCTCTCGGGTCCTGAGAATACATCTCCTCGAATGTGAGGCCTGACTCAATACCCCAGGTGGTCAGGGCATGGTGCATGATGGTCCTCACAACCTCCTGCTTCAATGGTGAGCTCTGGGGGAAGGACTGTACCCTGGGGAGAGAGGAATGGAGAGGAAGGGTACCCAGGGCTACAGAAGCTGGGGCCCAACAGGCAGGCCCAGGGTGGGGTGGGCACCGGGACCTACCTCCACGTCAGGGTTCGCTTCTTCCACATGCTGCCACTCAGAGCATACCGGCGCCGGCGGCGCCGCCTAACAAGTCCCGCCACCCCCAGCACATCGGGCAGGGAGCAGCGGCGCTTACGCATGGTGGCCATTGTCAGTGAGTCTGTGGAAGAGGTTGGGGGAACGCGATCAGAAGGACAACCTGCCCTAATCATGGTACCAGCTACCTTTCTACATGGGAAAACTGAAGTTCAGAGACGTTAAGAGACTTGCCCCACAGGGCTGGCCAAGTGGCTCAGTTGGTTAAGAGCACGGTCTCTGAGCAGCTGGGTGCTGCCACTGAGCTGCCAACAGGTGGCAGGATGGTTCAGCTGGTGAGAGTACATGCTCCTAACAACAAGGTTGCAGGTTTGACTCCCGCGTGAGATGGTAGGCTACGCCCACCCGCAACTAAGATTGAACACGGCAACTTGAGCTGAGTGGCTGCAAGCCGCTGACAGGCGGCCGGATGGCGACTGGACTTGGAGCTGAGCTAGCTGCGCCCTCCACAACTAAGATTGAAGGACAACAACCTGGTTGTTCCCCTTCTCCAATTCCCCAACACTGTTCCTCCTCCCCGATTCCCCAATAAAACCTTAAAAAAAATGTTACTTAGAGATAGGAAAAAAAAATAGAAACTTGCCCCACAGCTTGGATTTGAACCCAGGAAGTCTGATTCTGGAAGCCATTTCATACCAAATTATGACACTGGGTTTCTGGACGACGTCACCCTCTGCACCTGGCCCTGAAGGATTGGCTACCTCTAGGTGGTGCTCAGTTTCTCACGGGGGGATCTTGGGGTCCCACTTCCCTGAGCCCTGATGGTTGCATTTGAGAAAGAAACCCTGGGAGTACAGTAAGAACTCCTCTTTTTGAGGCTGGAACCCCCTGGGAGGTTGCCCACACCCTACACCCTAGCTCCCAAGTCCCCATCATGTCCAGAAAAAGCCCAAAGTACCCAGGCCACCTGGGTCTCTGGTCTCCTGTGACAAGCCACCCCCTTATGGGTTAGAGCTGCCTGGAATCTCCTTTTCCAGCTCAGCTCACTCAATTCCTGTAAGTCTTCTCATCTTCAAAGGAAGGTCAAACCTCGCCTCATTGGTTGAAGTCACAAAGAGTAACTGAGCATATGGAGTTGCCAGATACTGCTGGGCAGTACACAAGACAGGGAAAGACGGTGTCTTGCCTCATAGCTAGCCAGGATCTCGCCAACTCTCTCTTCTTCCCCATTTAGCCCAACAGAGGAGCCTCTCAGCTCTACCTCCAAAATGTGCACACTTCTTATCACACACAACACCCCCCAACCCCCACCATCCTACTCCAGGCCACCATCATCCCTTGCCTGGATTCTGCAATGTCTCCTTCCTGGCCTCGGTGCTCCCCATCCTCCAGTCTCCATCAGGAACCAGAGGAAGCGTAAAACTTCAAAACAGACCAAGTTGCCTCCTTCCTTCAAACCCTCAATGGTTTCTTACTGTGCTTGGAATTAAAACCAAACACCTTGCAAGCCCCCTCCACCATCAGGCACTTGCTTAGCTCCTTAGTTCCCTCTCATCACAGGTGCACAGGACCTTCGGAGGGGCCTGGTACACTCTTCTCCCACATCTTCCCATGGCTGGCTCCTCCCCTTTGTGTCCTGTGAGTTCTTTGTGTCATAGGAGCTCCTCTCAACTCATAGGACACCTTTCAGAGGAGGCTGACCTGACAAGACCAGCCCCTCAATACCATTAGCATTTTATTTTCTTCAAAACACTCATCACTCTCTGAAAATATCTTGCATATTTCTGTTCTTGATCTCTAGAATGTGTCTGTCTCTGTCTAGGATGTCAGCCACATGAGAGCAGGGACCTTATCTACTTTGCTCACAGCTGGAGCCTGAATTGGCTTCGCATGTAAGAGATTCTCACGTATTGAAAGGGGAATGCCTGAGAACCTCCTGGATTGGGACCTGAGATCAGCATATTCATAGCTCCCATGATCCAAGTGCATGCTGAGGCTTAAGAACAGCTGGCTAATGGTTAGACTGGGTGCAGAGGCAGGGCTGGGGAGGGGGTGGGGACCACCTACCCAGGAGACCCGTTTCAGGCAGCTGGGCAAACCTCTGCATGACCTTGATGGCATCCCGCAGCATTGCAGGGCTCTGTAGTTGGGCCTGGGCTGGGTGGGGTGGCGGCAGGTAGCCATAGCGGGTCAGCCAGTCCTGGACCATAGGAGGGAACAGGTAAAGCGGGAAGGGTCAGAGGGATGGGACTCTACCTTCCCGCCAACATCCTGGAAGCTCCACCTCTGGCCAGGCACTGGGAACCCAGGACCCCAGCCCCAGGTGCCTGCCTGTTTCCCCCTCAAGGTCCTGGCCCTCCAGCTCTGGGTTTGTCACACTTCATCTGGCCCCAACAGTCTTGATTCCTACCTCCTCACCCCAGTCCCTTTCCAGATCTTCAAATCTGGGCTCCAGACCTGACAGATCCAAGAATCCAGGTCCCCAAACCCCATCCCTAGTCACTCTTTGAACATTTGAATCAGCCCCCAGCCTGACCTAGGAATCAGGCACCGGCTTTCCTCTCCCAGTCCCCGAAAATCCCCGGAGCCGGCGGACCCTGCACTCACCACGCCCAGGCTCACGTCCTGCGGGGAGGGCTCTGGGGCTCGCGCTGGCGGTGGGAGCAGCGGGAGCAGCAGCACCAGGAGCCGGAGCATGGCACGCTCCTGCCTAGGCAGCCGCGGGGCTCGAGGGCCTGACCGGAGCCGCCCTGGGGACCTGGGGGAGAAGCTCGGAGAGGCTGGGGCGGGGGAACCAGGAGCAGGTTAGGAGAGAAGGACTGGGGGCTGCACCAGGGTCCAGCACCTTGGGCAGCACGGAGTAAGGGGACGGCGGCGTCCAGCGGAGGGCCCAGAGGTGCTGGGATCTCCCGGGACTCCCAGTCCGCGCGCCCGCCTTTCGGGGTCGGGGACTGGTCTGGTCCTGGCGCCAAGCTGTGCGGGAAGCTCCTCCCTCGTCGGGTGTGGCAGACGCACCCCACTGAGCGCTGACGGCTTGGTCCGAGAAATGGCCCAATCTTCGGACATCCAGCGAGAAGGGGCGGGCCAGGCCCCCCGGTCTCCCGCCGGAACCCAGAGACCCTTTTGCAATCTCGGGGCGTGGCCGGGTGGGGGGCGGCGGCGACGAGCCCCGGCCGTGCCCCTTGGCTTCACTTCCCATAGCGGCGGCCACAAGATTCTCTTCCCTGATGCCGGTTCCGTTGGGACTCCTCCAGGCACCGCTCGCTTCTGCTTTCTCAGACTAAACAGACCCCCCCTAGTAAAGGGGGCTCCCGGTCCTCCGCTCCCCCAGCAGCCCTTTCCAGAGACCCTACACCTGGCGGCAGGCAAAGCATGGGGGTAGTTCCAGGCGCAGGAGGCTAGGATGCTTCTCTTCTCCGCGGGGTCCCGGAGCCCCCCGCAGGTCTTGGCCAGTGTCCCCCGCGTGTGCGAGGGTGGCGTCCGTGGTCCCCGTGTTCATTCCCCCAACTACCTGGACTGCGCGGGTCTCGGCCTCCTTACACCGACCGTGGTTGGGTTCTGACATCTCTGAATCCTAGACCCAGGGGCTGCCCCGGACCGCGCCTTTTCTCCGCAGGTACGAGACATTTGTAACCCAATAACATCCACGCAGGAACTCGAGTGCCTGCGGTGTGTCAGGAGCGCAGGGGGAGCAGATCCCCGAGGCAGAGACTTGGGGACCGCAGAGCCGCGCCTCACCTCCTCCGCGCCACGCCGGGAGCCCAGGGCTAGGAGGCCCGGGAGCTGGAGAAGAATCTAGAGGAATGGGATGGAGAGGGGTGGGGGAGGGGGGGCGTTCCTGGCGAGGGGCAGGTGAGTGGGTGTGAGTGATACAGCTCTGTCTCTGGAGCAGGGCAGCCACAGGACCCCAGGTGTGTTTGCATTAGTCCTCTGGGTTGCCATAACAAACTACCACAGACTGGGTGACTTAAACAACAGAAATTATTTTCTCACAAGTTCTGAAGGCTGGAAGTCCAAGATCAAGGTGCAGGCAAGGTTGATTTCTCCAGCCATTTCAAGGCCTCTCTCCTCGCTTTCAGGTAGCTGCTTTCTCCCTGTATCCTCACATGGTCTTTCCTCTGTGCCCATGCAGCTCAAATGCCTCTGTGTGTGTCCACATCTCCTGGGTTTTTTGGGGTTTTTTGTTTCTTTGTTTGCCACGAGGTGTTTTATTTTCATTAATCATACAAATAATTTTCTACAATGTCCCAGTACAAACCAGAGAATTTGGCAGTCTTATTGCAGGCGGGGGTCCCCTCAGAGATTCACAGGCTGATGGCATGGGCACAGAGTGCCCGCGTTCACAGTGCAGCTTGTCGCTCATGTCCACCATGCAGGTGGCTCTTTCTCCACATCATGACTGGAGTTTCCAAGATGACAGGAGTGGGGAGTCCTCAAGGTTCTTAAGAAATTTCACTCCCCCTCTCCTGCTCAATGGTCTCTTTGGTTGGCAGGATGTTCTCCTGCATCTCCATCTTCTTCAGTTTGACCTTATCGAAGCTGGCAACTTCCCCTGTGTCGGGTTTGTCTGCCATTTTCTTAAAACGATCCCTGGTCTTTGCTCCAAGACGAGGTTCCTTGTTTCCACTATAGCAAGAGACCCACATCTCTTCTTTTTAAAAAAAAAAAGATTTTTATTGGGGAATTGGGAACAGTGCTGGGGAATTGGGGGAAGGGGAACAGACAAGTTGCTGTCCTTTTGTTCTTCAGTCTAGTTGTGGAGGACGTTGCTTCACTGGCCCAAGTTGGCACCATCATTGCGCTCTTCCTGGGCGAGGCAGATCAGTAGCTGGCTTCTGGACGGCTGCTCACTGTGGCTGCTGGCCGCTCATGCTGGCTGCTGGCTACACACGGTAGCCCATGGCAACCCACTGCCACAGAGGCTGCAGCCTATGCCATCGCGCCGGCAACTCACCGCAGCCCAGCTCCAGGTTGAGCTGTTGTTCAGCATCTTAGCTGTAGAGGGCAGTGTCACTGGCCCTCATATGTGGGATCTGAACCGGGGCCCTCTGGTGTCCCAAGCCAGTTCTTAACCATCGCGCCACTTGGCCGGCCCCCACATCTCCTCTTAAAAGGACACCAGTAAGACCGGATCAGGACCCACTCTAATGGCCTCATTTTACCTTAATCACCTCTGTAAAGGCCTAGTCTCCAAATACAGTCACATCCTGAGGTCCTGGAGTGGGGGAGAAACAGTTCAGTCTGTATTGGATCCCATGTGTAATGAAGACTGAAAACTCACAGTTCTCCCGCTGGGTGTGTCTTTTCTACTCTCTCACTCCTACCACACTCACAACACTTCTGGCATCAGATGTCTGGGTTTCCTCCCCCACCAAGTACTTCTCTGTGACACCAGCTGGGTGTCCTGCAATTCAATTCTGACACTAGAATTAGCACAGATCCCACAAATTCAGGGCTCAGTCCCATGAGACTGCCCCCACTTCGGAAGCCAAGAGCAATTAGCGGGTCCCAGGATACCCAAAACTTCTGCTGACTCGGCTACAAATTGTAGGTTCCCATGACCACGCCCACCCCCTGATTATTTGTTAGAACAGGTCAGAGAACTCAGGGAAATATACTTATGTTTACCAGTTTATTATATAATAAAAGATTCAGATAAACAGCCAGATGAAGAGATACATCAGGTAAGATCTGGAAGGGTCCCAAGCACAAGCGCTTTTGTCCCTGTGGAGTTGGGGCATGCCACTCTCCTGGCATGTAGATGTCGCCCACCCAGAGTTCTCCAAACATAGGCATGATCAATTATTAACTCAATCCCCGCCCTTCTCCCCTCTCTGGAGAATGGGTGGTGTGGCTGAAAGTTCCAAGCTTCTAATCATGGTCTTTCCGGGGACCCGCCCCCATTCAGGAGATATTAGGAGCCCACTGAGAGTCACTGCATTAGATCAAAAGACTGGCCTCTATCATCCAGGAGATTCCAAGGAATTTAGGAGCCCTGTGTCAGGGAAATCAAATATTAAAACAAAAGGTGCTCTTATCACTTAGGAAATTACAACGGTTTTAGGAGCTCTGTGCCAGGAACCCGGGGCAGAGACCAATATATATTTTTTCTATTATCTCACAACTCATCCCCTGGTCTCTGGCCACAGAACCCTTGCAGCAAAACAATATACAACTCAAAAGATACTGGCATGTTACTAGAATCCCACACAGTCCATCATTTAATAATCATTTCAGTCCTTCATCATGTCATATGATTTCAGTCCTTCATCATGTCATATGAAAATAGCCCCCAGAATGGGGCCACTCAGGTTTGCAGGCTTCCATTCAATCTTGTCAGGTTGCAGAAGCAGGAGCAGTCTCAGCAAACACATGGCTTTACTCTTTCAGGAATCTGCTATAATTGAGATAAGAGACGATACCACCTCTTGCTCTGAGCTACTTTTGAGGTGTTCATAGAATATTGGCTTTCCCTCGTTACATAACCCATTTATTCATTACTTTCCCCTTTGTTGCTATTCCTCCTTCTCTCCATTAAAAGCCAAGCTCTTACACCTTCGGAACGGACATTGGGGTCGGCTGTTGTGCTGGGGTAGCGTGCAGGCAACAATAGTAGTCTAGCAAGTGCCTCCCCCTCAGTGCACTCCCACTCACATAGGGCGAGGTTACACAGGTGCAGACCTAGTGGGCTGTCTTTACCACCAGGCATACAGATGCCTTCAGTGTTAACACCAATTTCGGAAGGTGGGGTGAAGGCACATCCTGACCCATCAGGCCATTCTCACATAAGGTTTAAAATATACTGGTAGCCTCTTATTTAGGAACCATTGCCATTTCAGGCCCTTGCATTTGCAGCCCTGGTCATATGACCACTGCATCAGGTAGGGAAAAAAATTGAGGTGATATGGAAAATAAAGAAAAATATTGGGTCATTATACCAGCATCCTCTTCCCTTAGGAATAACTGCAATGTCTTACCAGCGTAATTCCTCACCCCCTCTCCCCAGATCCACCAGAAAAACAGAGGAATCTCTCCAGGGGGAAACTCCTTTTGTCCCACTCATGGTCATGTTGAGTTTGAGAACACACTCATAAAAGTGTGTAAGCCAGCTCTTCAGGCCTTTATCTCCTTCCATTTTAGGTGACCAATGTTTTGATTGCCCATTCCAATTCTCTACCAGAGATAAACTCCAAGGAGGATATCTCTCTGCCCACGGTTGGTCATTAGGGGCTATAAAAGTGTGGTCGTTGGTCTGAAGAAATGGTGACTGGCCATCCAAATTGGTGCAATATCTTCTGTTCTTGTTTTTGAATAGCTTCTGAGTATTTGCATCTACCCCTGGGTAAGCAAAGCCCAGCCCAGAGTCAGTGTCTGTTCCCATCAGGAACCGTTTTAGCCCCCTAGGGCCACCAGCATCAGTCTGACTCACCCACTATGATTAAAGCTGTTCCCCCAGGGAATCCGCCACATAGTTACATGCAGTCTTTATGTCTTCTTATTTCATGGGTCCAGGGTCCACCTCAAGTGAGCACACACAGAGATATCTGCTTGATGATTCCAAACCTGAAAACAGTTCTTTGGATGGGCCTCAACATGCCCTATTTGAATGCACCCCTCAAATTCCCACAGGGATCTCCACATGGGCTGTGCACCATACTGACATCCCTTTAATAGACCAAGTTTCCATTGTCCTCCTGCCTGATCAGATGGCCAGGCCATTGGCCACTACCCATGAGTTGGTAGAAACCAAAATATAGGGAATTTTACCACTGTTCAATTATTCCATCAGTGCTGGGAAAACAATGCAATTCAGCCCACTGAGCATGTTGTTTTTATCTTCTTCGATCAGAGTGGTGGCCTTCCAAATAGGATGCTGTCCATTTTCTGTGGAACTGCCATCCACAAACCAAGCAGCTCTTTGTTGGTCAGTCGAAAGCTATTTATAGGGCACCGTCTGAGGGACAATAGAATCCAGCAGCTCCTCACACCATTCCAAGATCGGTCCTAGGGGAAAAGAGGCTCCCTGCTCGTGAGTATCTCCTTGCATTCCCCAGGCAGCATGGCCCTATATAAACCATTTCCATTTCATTATTGAACCCTTCTAGGCACTGCAATACCCATTAAGCATTTCTCTGACATCACCCAAGACACTGGGTATTTCAGGTTTAAAGATCATTTTATGTCTTTCAGTCATAGGAGTAGCTTCAATTTATGTCTGATAGCAAGGTAGTGAACACCCTCAAATAGAAACTCTCTTGTCCAAAGTCCCAGTATTCGTGACTGGGAGATGCTCACGGAGTGTTGCCATCAGCCCCAGTCCACACTCCACACCAGCTGGGTATCGCAGAGAATCTGTCCCCACCCGCTTGGGCTCAGGCAATCACTCAGGCAAACAGGTTCCCATTTAGCCATGTCCAATTAATGTGGCTTGATGGGCAGATTTACAAAGTCTGTTTTACAAAACTAGGTAGGGAAATATTCATCCCCAAAAATCAAGTAAAAGAGACACGACCACTTCACATAAAGCCTGCTCAAACGTATCACTTCCCTACTAACTTTTACCCAAATTCCATCAACCCTCACATTCCTAACTGTCGTCTCTATTAGGTCTTCATTCACAGATTTCGGTTTTATAATACTAGGTAGGGGAAGTGTTCCCCAGTAGGACATACAGTAATATCCATTTATGTAAAACATTAGGTAAAGGAGACAAAACTTCTTTACATAAAGCCTATTTAAATATTCCACCTTTCAGGTGAAAAGTATAACTATTGCATTGTTTTGTACACCTAAAATTATCAATAAAAAATAAATAAACAAATAAATAAATATTCCACCTTTCATAATCTTACCGATTCTTATATTTCTATGTTCTCTCAATCTAATTGCAGCCCCAGTCAGGGCTTCACCAGTGGGGTTTGGTACCACAGTGCATGGGGCTCCTTTATCAAGAAGTCCTAGGAACTTCTTCACTCCCTGACCATTTTACCCACCTTCTGCAAAAGGCCTTGGGCCAGAGAGCATTCTGGGAAGGTGGTGGAGTAGGAAGCACCAGGAATCTGTCTCCCCACCTGGATAACAGCTGTATTGTCAGGATCTGTCTGATAAACTATTATAGAACTCTGAAGGCTTACAACATCCAGGGGATGGCTTGAACAATAAATTGTGGCAAATTTCATCTTTAGCACAGTAGCAGCTACCCAACCCACAACCCCAGCCATGTGGCAGACAGCTGTGCACGTTTACTGGAGCAGCTGACACACAGCTTATGGCAACTTGTTATAATGTCAATACCACCCAAAGCAAGCTACAGATTTAATGCAATCCCTATTAAAATTCCAATGACATTTTTTGCAGAATAGAAAAACCCAGCCTAAAATTCATATGAAATCTCGAAGGACCCTAAATAGCCAAAACAATGTTGAAAAAGAAAAACAAAACTGAAGGACTCGTACTTCCTGATTTCAAAACTTACCACAACACTACAGTAATCAAAACAGTTTGGTACTGGCAAACAGACATACATATAGACCAATGGAATAGAATAGAGAGCCCACAAACAAGGTGCCAAGTTCAGTCTTAGTTGCAGGTGGGCGTAGCCGACCATGGAACAGGCAATCTTGTTGTTACACCAGCTGAGCCATCCTGCCACCTGTTGGCAGCTCAGCGACAGCTCATCTCGGGCGCAGCGTCACTGGCCCATGTGGGAATCGAACCGGCGACCCTGTTGCTCAGAGCTTGCGATCTTAAGCCAACTCTTAGCCAACTGAGCCACTCGGCTGGATCTATAGTCAAACGATTTTTGACAAAGGTGCCAGACCATTCAATGGAGAAAGAATAACAAATGGTCCCAGGAAAACTGGATAATCACGTGAAAAGAATGAAATTGAGTCCTTATCTAACACCACATACAAAAATTAACTCAAAATGGATTATGGACCTAAATGTAAGACCTAAAACAATTAAACTCTTTGACGAAAACATAGGACAAAAGCTTCACCACAATGGATTTGGCAATTATTTCTTGGATATGACATTAAAGACACAGGTAATAAAAGAAAAAATAGACAAATTTGACTTCACAAAAATTTTTAAATTTTGTATATCAAAAGATACTATCCATCGCTTCTCGGCCTTTTGGCTACGATCAAGTGTAAAAGATACTATCCACTGAGTAAAAAGGCAACCCACAGAATGGAAGAAACTGTTTGCAAACCATGTCTCTGATGAGGGATTAAGATCCAGAATATATACAGAACTCCTAAAATTCAACAACAAGAAAACAAACAACTTGATTCAAAAATGGGCAAAGGGCTTGAATGGACGTTTCTCCAAAGGAGATACACAAATGACCAATAAGCACATGTAAATATGCTCAACATCGCTCATCATTAGTGCTTCCTCTTTGTCTCACTCCTATCAATATTTGCTAAATTTGCCTTATTTCTTTTTTTTTTAAGATTTTATTGGGGAGTTGGGGGAGGGTAACAGTGCTGGGGAATTGGGGGAAGGGGAACAGACAAGTTGTTGCTGTTTTTTGTTCTTCAGTCTAGTTGTGGAGGATGTTGCTTCACTGGCCCAAGATGGCACCATCATTGCGGTCTTCCCGGGCGAGGCAGATCAGTCGCCGGTCTCTGGACGGCCGCTCACGCTGGTTACTGGCTACATATGGTAGCCCATGGCAACCCACTGCCACAGAGGCTGCAGCCTATGCCATCGCGCCGGCAACTCACCGCAGCCCAGCTCCAGGTTGAGCTGTTTTTTTTTTTTTTTTTTGTACAGGGCAGTGTCACTGGCCCTCACATGTGGGATCCGAACCGGGGCCCTCTAGCGTCCCAAGCCAGTTCTTAACCATTGCACCACTTGGCCGGCCCCCAAGTCAGTTCTTAACCAACGCGCCCCTCAGCCGGCCCTCACCTTATTTCTTAATAATCATTTAAAAATATCCACCCTGCCAAGACTAGTCTCTTGATTCTCTCCTCTGCCTTTCCTCATTTTCTTGTTAATTAACCTAATATTATTAGTACCGGTAAGACCCATGAGGGAAAGTAGGGTGAGAAAATTCTGTAAGTCTTCTTGAGTTGTCCTTCAGTTTTGTAGCAGTAACATTACACAGGGTGCCCATGCAACAGGGCCCCCGAACCACACATTTACCATGACCTGGGTAACTGGATATTTACTGGGTGAATATCCTGGTCATCATAAAGCTTGCATACATCATACAGTTTGCAAACAGAGCCCATCAGCTGCTTCATCTGGGGTGTTCCACTTGGCATTGATAGGAGGAGATGGGCAGTCCCCCTTCTCAGGGTAAACAGACCTTACAGTTGCCTTTATTCAGTCCACCAGGCTGACCGTTCCCTTAGGAGTCACCTCCCGTGCGTCTGGATCAAAACTGTGATGGTTCCACAGGGAGCTGTGGGTCTTATCTCAACCTAACCATGCTCTCCCACTCACTCTGCAGCCTTGAAAGCAGAAACACATTGGTTACTCTTACAACCCATTTCAGTAAGGTTGTTCAGGAAGCTGGTGAAACCAAATGACAAAATGAAACAATGCCTTTACAAGATATCCTCTGGCTTCTGTAGTTGCTTGGTTTTGCCCTTCCCCCATATTGACTACCTTCTTGGTGACCACAGGTCTTAGAGGTGGCTTTCTGTTCTCCCTGCACAATTTTCACCGTGGGTGGTAGCTGTTGAGCTGAAGCTCAGACTCACTGAAATCTGAGCTTGGTCCAGCATCAAGGTCTAACCCAGCACTCTCTTTTAATTTCATTGTAGCTATTACAGGTAACGATAACCAAAGGGTGGAATATTTTACCTTTTTCTTATTAGTTTACACGTCCTTATACTTCCCATGAACCAGGTCCCCAAGAGAGAATTCATCTCTAAATTCCATTGGCAAATTTACCTGTAGTAACTGAGCACAACCAGCTGCAGCTCCATCCATGGGTGACCACGTGGCCACCAGAAATCAAAGGCGCCTCAGCCTTACCCTTTCATCCTTTCTCTCCCCGAACCACATTTCTGTGAGCCAGGACTTTATGAACAAACACTATTTCTCTCACACCAACTGTAATGAGAACCTCACTTCTTGTAGCACCAATTTACAAGGGCTTTAGGAGCCCT